CTTGAAAGATCCAAAACATCATTTATAAGGGTAGCCAATAGGTTGCTGCTCTTTAATATCGTTTCAACCATGAGGCGCTGTTCAGGTGTCAGCTCAGTTTCCTGCAGCAAAGAAGAAAGAGCAATAATTGCATGCATGGGAGTTCTCATTTCATGGTTCATAACAGCCAAGAAATCATTGCGAGCACGAATTGCAGTTTCCGCTTCTCTTCTGGCCAGATCAAGCGCAATATTCTGCTCCATAAGGAGATCCCTTGCCCTCATTGACTCTTCTAATATTGCAGCATGTGACAGAGCAACTGCAACCTGTTTAAACGAATCAACAATAAGAACAAATAAATGAACGCTTCTTTACATTATAACTTATAAGCAATGGTATATTATTACAGAAAGCAAGAAACAGGTAAAGAACATCTTTAGATAGGCAATCTGCTCTTTTTATTTTAGTGCCCTTAGGTTTTGCAAAAATCGCACTTTACTACACTTCTTTTTTTCATCTCACTTTCATACCTAAAGTTTGATTTTTCTGCCACTTTCATACTTTTGTTAGTCATTCTTTTAACTCATTCATTAACTAATGATGAGGCAGTTGTGGCCTACCAAAAATGTGCTAAGTGGAGTTCAAATTAATTAAATATTAATTAGTTACAAAAAGATATGAAAAAATGACTCCAACTCCAGCCCCACTCCATTTCTTTGAAATCCCTCCCTCCCTCTCTCTCTCCTCCAAGCCCTCCATCTCCACTTTCTCAGGTACTCCCGCCTTGTGCCGTCAAGGCCATCTGTGACTGGTGGTTGTGTTATCTGCAAAAAGTGTCAAAGCCAAGCCGATTCACAATGCACGGTGGCTGACCACGAATCCAATTTAACCCAAGTTACGACCCACGACGTCACCTGGCCCAAGAAACATGCCCGACACCCTTTATTTGTCAGATCTGTGAAGTTTTTAGCTCCCATTACATCTGTTTTACCAGCGATTGCTTTAATGGCCAAGGAAATCCCAGGTAAGGCTATGCATGATGATGACCCTAGAGGCTTGATTCGGGTCTGCAAGTTTGGTCTGCACTTGGTTCCAACTGAAATTCATTACAACTTGGCATAAGTGAGTTTATGAGGCAATCCCTGGGACTGAGAACTGCAACAAACAGTCAAAACCACCCAGATTCAGATCTAAAAAATTGAGCCTCTGGGGATAATGGGGGAAGAAAATATTGGGCTCTTCAGCAACAATCTAGTGAGAAGGGGAATTTACACAGAGAAATCCAGAAAGAAGAAGGGTTATGTGAAGATTGGGAAGAATGGAGGTATGGGTGCACTGGTGGAGTGGCATTGGCTGTGGTAGGAATCGAACAGAGGAAGGGGAACAGAAGGGAGAGTTTTCTTTTCTTTTTCTTTTTTTTTCTTTTTTCTTTTTTAACTTTTATCAACAGATCAAATTTTAATATTTATTCAATTTGTCACTCCACGTGGCAAATTTGGTGCGGTTTTTACTATGCCCCATCATCAATTAACAGAAAGATTAACAAAAGTATGAAGGTGGCAGAAAAGTCAAACTTTAGATATCAAAGTGTGACGAAAAAAAAGTAAGTGTAGTAATGTGCAATTTTTGCGAAACTTAAGGGTAGGGAAGTGGAAATTACCCTTTTATTTATTCTCTCCTTTGTAAGATGTTTTTCTGTTTAATTACCCTTTCTATATGCCAAGTAATACAGCATTCAGAAAAAAAAATGCATTTCAACTCCGAGGATCAATCAAATACAACTCATATAATAGGTTCCTGAGATTTGATATAACTTCACACTAAACAAAGGGTTATTGTAAAAGGTTAGATAGAACATAAAACATCGGGAAAAGAATGAACCTTTCCATAAACAAACATTTTTTCATGTGACATCATAGGTACTTAAACATCTTCAAATGTGAATCAGAGGCAGAGCAACAGAAAAAAACTGTATTTTAAAATTCCGTTTAGGGATTTGTATGTGGATAGATTTATTACCATTTTCATAAAGATTGTACTTAAAAAGATACAGGTTGTGGTTTTTTACCTGATCAGCAACTACTTCAACCAATTCTAACTCGTGAACGTGCCATTGCCTTGCACTGTCTGAGGGAAGCATCAAGACCATCAAAGCATAGCGTTTTGTTGAGAGCTCTGGCCAGTCATTAATTTGGAAGTTAGAGAGATGTAAAAGGGGCACACGAACTGCAACAACTTCCCCAGGAATGTGCTTTCCTGCAAGTTGCCTCAGTCGTGCCACTGGAGAATTAGGTGATATTTTTACTGCACAGTTGCTACTAAATACTTGATTGACCACAGGAAGATGAATGGGCACAGTATATCCTACTGGATTCTGTTGACGGAGTGTATAGGATAGTTGAAGCTCTAACCCAGTACGCGTTGGCATCCACAAGGCACACTCTTCCAATGCCAGAGTTCTACCTAACTCGACAAGTGTAGTTTTAAGTATAGTATGTCTATCAAGAGTGCTTCTAATTTCATGGGTCAACATCCTGACATGTCGACCTGTTTCCTCCTGTGTTCGAATAAGGCCCATTTCTCTATCAAGCTCTGCAGCCTTGTTCTTCAAGAATAGTTCTCTAGTTTTAACACTCAATAAATCAGGTATAATATGTACAAGCATAAGGGCAGTTGCACATGACACCACCGCTGTTAAAACCTTAGCCGTGGTCATTACTATGGCCACAGTTCTTGAATGCATGTTGAACGTCCATAAGTTGATAAGATGAGTCGCCCCACACAGTACAATGAAAGCACCAAACTGTACGAGGACCCATCTGTATGGAAACACAGCAGATTTCTTGACAAAGTAGATCAACTCCAGAGGGATGGAGAAATAAGCAAGTGCAATAAAGAAATCCGAAATGTACTGATATTTCATCAGCAATTCATCTGCCGGCCATTGTGGCTCAATACAGTTGCATGCCTCCATGATCATTGAGCCACTTAAACGAATATTACTTGGTCTGTTACATGCCTACAACATATTAACCGTCAAAACTGAAGCTACTAAAAAAAAAAATTGAAAGGAAAAACAGCACTAAAACTAACCACCCTGTAGCAATAATTTCAAAAGAAATTTCTATAGGACATTAACAATATAACAAGTGAGCATTATGCAGATGCAAACTAGGCAGCATTGAACTTTCAACTTTTGATTGTTTAAGGCAAAGCAATTTCTATGGAAAAAAATTCAATTAAACAACACGGAAATTTCTGTCTAGAACTCATGCCCAATAACTCAACCCTTTTCAAAATTCAACCGAACACGATAATAGACAAAAACAAAGAATGAAATTCTACCATAATCCGTGATCATTAAAAATAAATACATAAACACAACTAGAAAACCACATTTATGATTAATCCCTTGGGATCCAGTGACCTAAAGAAAGAGCAAGGATCCTGCCACACATTCAGCAATTGACTACCAATCCATAAATCCCTAATTCTTAACTCTGTGATTCCAAAAACTCCAAATGAATCGCTCTTCTCAATCTTCAAGAAATTTTAAACTTTAATCTGCAAACCCAAGATCACAATCTGCCCAAATGCACTAAAGTTATAAGATTTCAGCTCAATGAAAGTGAAAACCCACCTGAGAAGTGAGAAATGAACACAGAAAGCGAGGGGGTGGACTGACGATTGACTGTCGGAGAAACACCAGCCGTCCGGGACGGCAGGTCAAGTCGGAGCCGTCGAACTGAAATCGCAAGCAAACACAGTGCGACGATCCAGCGCAGGAGAGGAGACGTCGGGCTGACTAGGGTTTTGAAAATTGGGGATGGAGACATCCATTATACATTGATGTAATTCACTGTCGCGCAGATGACACAAAAACGCCGCGTTTTAGTATTATTGCAATTTATTGAATTTCCAAAATAAGAGGATGGGCGGTTTTGATATATTAAATTTAGTCAACTTAAAATCTGAACCGCTCGTTTTTTGGCGGGTAAGAGGCTTGAAGCCGTTAACTAATTTCTGTGTCGCCGTCGTATGAGACCTCTATCTTCTCAGCGCTCTGCATCTCCATAACCTCACCGAAAAAAGCGCGGCAACTCCGTGCTCTCCTCCTTACCACCACCGCCGTAGGCTCGCGCTCACCGTCCTTTCACGAGCCTGCTGCTGGAATTTTATACAGTTGAGGGTTTGGCTATTTTATTCAACCCCAAGTTGTTAAATTTGGATTCTTAAGTGATTTTTGTCTTCCGACTGCTCTACTTGGATGTACCTTCAGGGATTTGGAATCAATGAAGAAATTTTTTAGCGAGCGGGATGCTTAACGAAGATAATGTACTGGTGGCTTCGAGTTCTATGAGTTTGGGGCACTTGAAGAATGACGAAACCATCGGAAAGTGTTTCACTCCATCTTATAAAAGGATGTTGTTCTCTGGACTGAGATAATCATAGGTTTTATCGAGAATGGCTGATGGGGACAAGTTCATTAATGTAATGTTCCAGGAGTTTTGAGTACTTGAAGCTATTTTCTGAGATAGAAAAACATGGTCTGAAACCAGACCAAGTAACATCTTATCTATGCAGTGAGCCTGCAACCATGCTTTGGTTGAAGAACAAAGGATAACGGTATCACGCCTGGGCCTAAGCACTACCCTTGCATGGTTAGTTTGTTTGGATGCTGCAGAGGAAGTTTAATGGAAATAATCTTGGACTGCGGAGAGCGTTACTAAGCTCATGCATCAGAGCAGGTTTTAAGTTTAGACTCACAAGATAATGCAACTAACATCTTGTCGAACCTCTATGATGCTGCAGGAAAATGCGATAGTGCTGTCGAAATGAAGAGAAAGATTAGAGTAATGAAGTCGAAAAAGGATCCTGGACTAAACGGGACTAAATCAGAGCAAGAGGTAGCTGAACCACTGCACTGCATTCACGGAGGCGTGGTAACATCACAAACCGATGAATTTGATGAACCGATTTGATACTACATAATAAGTTATAGAATCATGAAGGATCACCACTTGGATTCAACACCACTTATTCCTTTTGTTCAGTTTTAGAATTGATACAAACAATTTCCTGCTGTCGGAGTAAAAAGTACTGAAATACATTTAAACATTACGAGGATTAACATGGTGCAAACTGCAAATACAAAGGCCAAAGTTTAAAACTTCCAGCAAATTCACGGAGTAACACGACGTTTACACTCATGATGGCCAAATTTATTCTCCTAACAACTGGCCTAAAATGTAGCTCGCTGACATATTTCAAGCAAACTTTTGTGCAATCTCCATAAGTGAATTGGATAGTTCTTGAGGCTTCGAAAACATTGGCATATGATCGGCACCCTTAATCTCCACCACATTTTTAACCCCGCTGTTTGCAATCATCCATCGTTGAAATTCCTCAGATTTTATCAAATCTTTGTCACAAACCACATAAACTCGTGTAACTGACCCGTATCCCTCATTCGAGAATTTCTTCATCTTAGCCATTTCTTCACGAAATAATGAACTCTTCCTTACTAAACTCTTGGCAAGTTCCAGATCCTTTGAACACACACAACGTAGTTACATCAGTTCAGGAAATATATATAAATACATGGACTACAAGCTTAATACAAATACTAATACATCGATTTTCATGATATAATTGCAGTTCATTTTGTGAGCTTGTGAGAGCAAGATACCTCGATTGGGCTGAGTTGATAGAGTCTCTCTTGTAAGAACTTGGGACCTAATAATATCGATGTCAAGGGTTGCTCGGCGCTTCCAAATTTCTCAAAGCGAGTGTCCAACCATGAGTCTGCCGGTAATTTTTCCATTAACTTTTCACACAGAACAAAACAATTTTCAAATTAACTTTGCTTGCTGTTAAAATTTCTAATAGATTAAAGAACATGCAGATACCTGATCTATAATATAAGAGGGCTGGTGAGTTGTGTCGGGCAGAAGCGCAGTCAAGAAAACGGCAGCAGAAATTTTATGTGGGAACTTTTCCATGGCAAGGGACAAGTTCAAGCCTCCGAGACTATGTCCTACGAGGATCACCTTTTCTTCCGGACCGAGCGATTCTATCAACTCTAACAAAGGCTCAGAGTACTCAGTCAGTGAGTGAACATCTTGTATCGCCTTCATGTTGGTGCCCGAAGCTGCGAGGTTAAGCGCCGTGACTCTGTGACCACCGGACTCGAGCTTCGGTTTTATCTTGTACCAGAACCAAGCGCCATGACCTGCGCCGTGTACTAGAACAAAATGCGCCTTCTGTTCTCCGCTGGATCCTGCCATTTCATCTGTTGGGTATAAACTACCACTCTACAACTGCATATAAAGATGGCTAAAGGATGCACTTACATTTCAGTGTCACGGTGATTGGACCACGTGTCCGTGCCGATTCAAACATAAAAACTTTGAGAAATTTTTAAAGTAACCAGTGTTCGATCTAGTATTTTTCATAAAATAAGTGGAGAGACATAAAATATATATATATATATGTTGTAAATCGACGATATGTATGTAGTGGAATATAAAGTAAATAAGACACAATATTTACGAGGTTCGGCAAGTGTGCCTACGTCCTCAGGGCAGCAGTAGTACTTTCTTTCATTATGTGAAATAATAAGAGTACAAAGATAACTCTCACTATTTTATCTCTTCTCTCTAACCCAGCTCACTGGTATTTTATTATGTATCTCTCTTCTTTCTCTTCCTCATCTCCCTCTCTCTTCTTTTCTTTCTCTCTTTCTTCTTTCCTCTTTCTTTCTTCCGTTTATTGTCTATCTATTCATCTTCCTTCATTTGCTCCTTTGTTTTATTGGTAAAGTTAGTGGTAGACAAAACTTTGTAGGATGAGTGGCCATCCACGTTAAATAGCTTATGAATTACAACACTGCCTTTTGGATGGCCACAAGTCTTCGATTGACTATCTTATTAGAATTTTGATCAGTTTTGAATGCTCTCCCTGATGAGTATCTCCCCCTAATTTCGAATTCTTTATTCTAGCTTATTACTAAATTGATGTAATCTGAGACCACGCATGACAGTTGGAGTGTCAGCTTCTGAAGGTAGTTCACAGGCACTCAAAATTTTAATGGGTTGCAAGTATTAGTCAAATACATTCATGACTAGCTTCATAGAGATATGTATTTATAAGAGATATGAAGATGAAACAATGAATTCTTACTTCCTTGATCGTGTCAGAGCCAATCTATTTCCATATGTAAATACAAATCCAATTTGAGAGCGATTTGTATGCAGGCTAGAGAGGTATTTAAATTTTGCTTGCCCACTAAGACCATGGCTATTAATGAGTTCTTTGGAATAGAACAAGCACATGTCTATAATTTTCTAGAGATATCAATAAATAAACTTTATATCATTTCAATACCCATTTGTTGGTATTATGATCCACAGAAAGTGTAACACCTGATTCAATGTATTGTGCTAAATACAGTTAGGTACATACTTCACTAAGATATGATACTTCTGGACCAAACATCAATTCATCATTTCCCTCATGAGAATGAATGATTTTTCTTAGTGTCTATGTATTAATTAACCACTTGAGTGTTCAACTCATGATCTTCAACCCATATGGTTCTTTAATACCATAAACATCATGGATAACACTTGTGTTGGCATATTGTTCGATTTGTAACTCGAGACAATATTCATTTCAACACTTTATAATCTTTCTAGACTCTTCAGGAGTCTCATTCTAATATTATTAACTCTTGCAAAAAAATTAGCATGTTGCAACAATATCATAATGAAAGTACTCATTAAGGCAATTTATATCATTAATTGGTATTGAGTACATAATTTATGCTTTACCTTTTCAGGGCTTTCTTCAAGCAATTTGAATCCTTCAGGAATTTTCTACACTTCGTGACACATTCTCCTTTGGAATTTATACAGAGCAACTTGCTTCCATGTATACTTGAGGGATCTACTTATGGAGATATGCTTTAGTCATTTCATAAGGCTTCGTGTAATATATAATTCTTCATTTAAATGAACAAATTTCATAATAGGAAATCATGTTTACAGGAGTATATCACAGTTTCAGGTTTCAACTAAGAACATTGTGTCATATCATTTGAGTGTAGTTCACTGTATTACAAATGCTAATATGTAACCTTTTGGGTTCAACATCATTTGGTGATTTGTACAATAGGTCCTTTTTTTCACGTTCTTAATAAATTGTAATAGAATTGTCTTTCTCTATTTTTGGCCAATAATTTTTCTTTTTAGTCAACGAACAAAAGAACGTGACTCAATATCAAAACAACTCTTTGATGAATTTAGTAACTACTGTAAAACTAAAATTAATATTGGTAATCATCAATTCGTGATCCCATAATTCTCAAGTGTATGCGCATGCATATTTATAATCATTTCATTACTTTGGATATCCTTGCCTCTTCAGGGGCTTTATATTGTCTCTTCTAAGACATTCATCTCTTATTAGATGAATTGTTTGAGAATTTTCAATCATAATCTCCTCTTGATTGTCGAGAAACACTGGCCGTCTAGAATGGCAGGTCAATTCAGCGTCGTCGAACTGAAATTGCAAGCAAACACAGTGCGACGATCCAGCGCAGGAGAGGAGACATCGAGCTGACTAGGGTTTTGAAAATTGGGGATGGAGACATCCATTACACATTGATATAATTCACTGTCGCGCAGATGACCCGAAAACACTGCGTTTTGGTATTATTCCAATTTATTGAATTTTCAAAATAAGAGGATGGGGGGTTTTGATATATTAAATTTAGTCAACTTAAAATCTGAACCGATTATTTTTTGGCGGGTTAGAGGCTTGAAGCCGTTAACTAATTTCTATGCCACCATCGTATGAGACCTTTATCTTCGCAACGCTCTGCATCTCCATAACCTCACTGAAACAAGCGCGGCAACTCCGTGCTCTCCTCCTTACCAACACCGCCGTCGACTCTCGCTCACCGTCCTTTCACTAGCCTGCTGCAGGAATTTTATACAGTTGAGGATTTGGCTATTTGATTCAATCCCCAAGTTGTTAAATTTGGATTCTTGAGTGATTTTTGTCTTCAGAGTCTCAGACTGCTCTACTTGGGATGTACCTGCAGGGAATTGGAATCAACGAAGACATTTTTTAGCAAGCGGGATGGTTAATGAAGAAGATGTACTGGTGGCTTCGAATTCTATGCGTTTGGGGCACTTGAAGAATGACGAAACCATCGAAAAGTGTTTCACTCCATCTTAAAAAAGGATGTTGTTCTCTGGACTGAGATGATCATGGATTATTTCGGGAATGGCTGACGGGGACAAGTTCGTTTATGTAATGTTCCAGGAGTTTTGAGTGCTTGAAGTTATTTTCTGAGATAGAAAAACATGGTCTGAAACCAGACCAAGGGCTGGTTTGGTATTACTGTGCTTTGATAAAAAGCTGCTGTGAGAATATGCGGCTGTGCTGTGAGAATAAGCGGCTGTGAAATAAAGCAGCATAGTGTTTGGTAAACTTTTTTGTAAAAGTGCTTTTAGAAAAAAAAAGTTGTATGATAGTGTTTGGTAAACTTTTATGTAAAACAACTGTGACTGTGTGAAATAACAAAAAAAGGTATAATACTCTAATAATTTAGTTTTCTTAACAAATAAAAGTGAATTACTAAATATACTTTATTTTTAGAAGAAAAATATTTATAAACTTTATCTTAAATATTAATTAGTATGACAAACTACTTCAATTGAAATATTTTAGACTGAATAGCTAGGATTCATTAGTACAATATTGTTAATGTACTTGAAAGTAGTCTAATTAGATGCATTTATCAAACTTGTTGTTATTCAAACAATTTTCAAAAACAGTCCAACTTTACAAACAATTTTCACCGTTTAATTTCTTAGAAACAATATTAGAACCAATCTTCACCATTCATTTTTCAAAACCGCTCAATCTTCACATTTCATTTTTCAAACTACGTCTTCCCGTACTATTGAAACCCAAAAAGTTCCAAAAATTACGAAACAATGGCATACGAAAGAGATGTATTTGAAGATCCAAAAACTTTTAATTTGGCATGAATATTTCTAATGAACAAAAAATTTGACATGAGTGCATCATATAATTGTAACATGGGGAAGGTCGAAAACAAAACTAAAAAATTCTCTAGATTTTCTTCATTTTATCTTTAGTCGGAGAAATCTTTAACCTCATCTAATAAGGTAAAACAATTATTACAACAAAACTGTGGAAAGGGAAGAGTCCAACATTGGAGTCGGCTCACAAGAAGAAAATGTTGCCTTCTAAACATATGACTAGGCAGCACGAGTAACAGCTACATGTATTGCCTCCGTAAGATGAGGGACGGTCCTTGAGCTCAGACCCGCCATGCTAATCCTTGGCATGCAAGGATTCAAAAAGTTGAAGACGCATGCTGATGATACGATCAACCATTTCCTTCAACTCAATTGTCCACTCATTGAACAAATCCCTGACCACAGAAGAATTAAGTGATAAGATCATTAGAAATCAAATAGGGAAGGAAAAACTATTTCTGGGTTGGAGTTCAATAACTAGTTGATGATACATCAAGTCAATTATTGTCATTTTGCACATATATGAACAAGATTCAAAGAGTACCTATCCTTGAGGATGGTCGCTACAATAGATGCACCATGAATGGGTGGGTTCAAGTACATAGGCCTGATCACAAGCTTCAGTTGGCTCTCAACCTTGCTTGCAACATCAGCATTCTTGCAGACCTATGTTCAAGTAGAATTTTCAACAACCAATATAATCAAGAACCATTTAAGATGTATGGCAAGTATGGAGTTTTTTCGTATTAAATTTTAGTAGGATGCATCAAAATAAGGTAACTCACAACTGAAAGTTATGGAATGAGTCTTACAATGCTTAGGGCTCCAACACGTTCGCCATACAGACCCATGTTTTTTGCATAACTTTGAGCAATAAGGCACTCTACACCATCAGCAGCAAACCTACGAACAAACTGTGCATCTCCATCCAAACTTCCACTAGCAAAACCCTACAAATACAAGAAAACAGTTCATCATGAGAAGTTGGAATAGCATGATGTTAAACAGAAAGAAGAAACTAGAGTGTAGAGAAATTGGAACTCTACACGTGGTCTACCTGATAAGCATTGTTGAAGAAAGGTAATTTCTCTTGATCTCACAAGCTGTCTGATCTGCTCCTACTGCTCAAGAATTGGATTAACACCGGTGGGGTTATGAGCACATACATGGAGAAGTACAATTGCTCCGGCGGGGGCAGAACTGAGGTCTTCTAAGAGGCATGTTAACTAAATGAAAAGAGTATTAAAACAGAATGAAGAATAAACACGTTATAAGGCCTGCTGCCATTTAACTTCAATAATGTTAGCTTTTTAAATTAAAAGAAAAATCAATTTACTGACAATGATATAGCTTACATGTCATTAACGAGCAGCTGTTCGGCTTTTCTCACCACATTCAGAACAAGTGGTTTTCCCTCCTGTCATTCCATGAACACAAAGGCGGTTAAGAAATTAACACATTCGCAAACGATGATAACAAAACTAGTGCCACTACCTTTGAAATAAAAATCCTTCAGTTACGAAGACGTGCATAATTTTGACAATGAAACAAATCAGCTTGAGTCGGCATGCTCGAGTCCCATACATTAGAGAACATACATTTCGCTAACAATACATACTAAAGCTTTGTAATCATGTTAAATTCGGTCCA